GCTTGACAATACAAATGACTAACTTGCTTTCACCATATTTACCACGGCTGGCAAAGGAATTTCAACATTATGCAAATCTAGCTAGATGCAGTTTTGGATTTTGATTTCTGATGAAGCAGAATTTCTTTCTGGTTGCATTATATCATGATTATCTGCAGCTCCATTTTTTAGCCCCTGCTAATTTATTTCTTGCTTTTATAATTTACTCACATAATTATCTTATCTAAATATAAATTTCCCTGAAACAGTTCTCAGTATTCAGCCATTAAAATGAATCCACTCTTTAGAACTGAAAACATTAGTTTCTTCCTGAGTAATGTTTGATCTTTTTCCTGTACTGACTGCCTTCTGAACACAGTGGCTGATGGTAAGCTTTGTCAAGAGATGCTGAGATATAAAGAACAACAGGTTACCTTATAATCTCTTCTTGTTAGTGCTTGTTCTGGAGAGCACCTGCTGTCTTTAAAAGGGATTTGAGTGACCCAAGATTAAGAAGTCTCCCTACAACAATTACTGTTCTTATCACTGAAGAATACTCATACCAATGTGACATCTTCCTGATGGTTTCAAATCCACAGACTGAGGGAGAGATAAGAGTCAAAGAACCATACAGTGCAATTATAAGATGACATCAAACCAGCCCAATACAATTCCATTTTGGAGAAGAGTAAAGCTATCAGACTAATTGATTTCTGCCTGAGAAGTAACTATTAGGACAAAATATCCTTTGATTTCATGTAACGAAATTTTAAAGTGCAATGGTGCCTACAGTATTTCTAATCATCTTTCTAGATCATCCTTAATGTGCAAATAACAGAAGAGGCACAGGGAAGCTAAATGAATCACACAATCCAACACTGGCAATGATTCAAATAGGATATTAAAACTTGGGACTACTATCATCTGCATGCCTTGCTACCTCTTTGGTTTAAAAGACACAAAAGTATAACTTCTGTTCTTATGAAGTCAAGTTTGTGATATAAGCAAAGAATCTTCTGCCACGACACCCATCATAGTATGTCCTTTACCCCTCAAAACATTTTTATGTCTGTTTAACCACTGAGCTCATCACTTGCATTGACAATATTTGTGCAAAGCCAGTTCTTTGAAACATTATCCAAAGTCACTAATATTTTGAAAATTAATGTGGAAGGATGGAATTTTCAAAAAAAAAATTGTACCCATTGAATCTGCCCATCTTTCCTTCTTACCAACACTCCAGATACAAATAAAGTACATGAACTATAATTTTGTTTCTCTTCCTCTCCCTCTCTCAACTCAGGATCCTTCAGAAGATGTCTTTGAGAAATAGAGAAAAAACCCCATTAAATCCAAATATCAAATAGTCCTCTTTCATATTAACTGAGAAAGTGAACCTGCTGAGAACCTTCCTTTCTTCAGTCTGAGGGCATTTTTAGGTCTCCAGATGACCAGTGTTCTAGGTTAGAGTGGTAATGTCTACATCACCTAATTCATTTACGTGGTATATAAACCAGAATGGAATTTACCTAGTTTCATTTCCAAGTAGAGAAAAGACTAGTGGAACTCACAGACCGGTTAGAAACAGAAATTAATTATTTCAAATCAGGTGCAAATGAGAGGTTTGCCAGAAGAAATAAGTAACACAACAATGATATAGGGTAATTGAAGATTGGCATCCTGGATACTACCTGATGGAAAGCCAAGATGGCAGTCTGCTACAGCTGAAGAAAGCTTTGTCCCAAGTCAAGAAAGCAAAATTATCTGATGTCAATTCAGTGTTGCTTGGCTCTGTTTAGGATACCTCCAGTGGAAAAGAATACATTTCACTTCTTATAAGCTCTCTATTTATAAATACATTAGAATATTTTGTGCTAATAACAAAACTTTAAGGATAACCTCAATATAACTTCAGAGCACATTATGCACAGCTGTAGAACTTGACTGTAGAACACCTGAAATCCATTGATTATATCCACAGTGGTTAAAAAAAAAAAGTACAAATAGCAACCAAATTAATTAGTAAGATGCGGCATGCTGTCAAAAGAAAGGATGGATAAATACTAACTTTATTGGGGTCTATGCATCCAACATCTCAATGAATATTATGTTTCCAGCACCGCCGAAATTGTGTCAGCTACATTGTGGACCCCAGTGGTATATGGTGATCTACTAAAATAGACAGATGCAAGGAGGTAGACCTCTGTTTGTCTGGATTGGACACAGAAATCCAGACTCTTCCAGCGATCCACAGATCAGTTATTATACAACAAACCCCACCAGCTCCTTCACAGCTTGCTCAGCTGCTGTGTCACTCTGTAGTCAAAAAGCCTTTAATCTTCAGGCTGACACAGGCGCAATGAGTATACAGACTAAAATTTATAAACAATTTGGCTGAAAGCTAATTACTGCCTGTTATTCTAGCTGCTTTCCTCTGAGTAGAAGAATATGGGGACAAAATTAAATGCACTGCTTTTACTGCCTCATGCTTTGTGCTATGAACTGCAACCGTGAAAACGTTAGTACAAAAGTAAAGCTATTTCTATGTTTCAAAAGTATAATAGATTGTCAGATAGTCATAAAATGATGCTGGTCAAGAAGTATTCCTCAAGATATATGCTTAATTTACTCCAGATTAAAATTCTGTTCTCCAGATTCCCATCTGAGGACATATTTTTTACAATTGTTTCCAGTGAAACGTGCATTTTCAGATCTGAGCAACAGTCCTTAAAATGGAGCATTGTGATACTGAAAATGAACCCACTAAAGGCAATTAGGACACAAAGCTTTATGTGTGTGTAACTCCTGAAATCCAATGGGACTGTTCAGATTGTTCAAAGTGAATAACACGAGTCAGCCTTTGCAGGACTAGGGACTTCAGTGTTACATCATTAATACAATTATGCTATACTATTTAAAATTCAAGCAAAAATAAAGATTGGTCTAAGTGAGAACAGTTGTTCATTAAGTAGAATAGATCAAACAGAAGGAAGCAAATATGACAAGGGAACCAGAAAAAAACAGCAGTAAAATCAAAGGCTGTGAACATGCATATAGCATGGCTTACCACATGCAAAAAAATCACAATTACAAATAAGCAAAGAGATAATGTGTTTCAAAATCCAATAATCAAGGTGAAATTATGAATTAATAAGGAAAAAATATATCCTCCAAAAGTCATATTTGTGATGTACAAGATATTTGAGGCAGATTCATACATATATTTTTAAAAATGGTAAACCACAACTTTCAACAATAAAAATCCTTTTCATAATCAGAGAATGGTATAAGAAATCTTCTTAATGAAACAGTTACACTGTCTTGTGTCACAATATCCTTTGATGACAAATTATGCTCCAAGGTGAAAGCCAAGTCAGTTCGGATTCTTATTCTGAATTTCCCCATAGGAATCCATATCTTTCTCTCTCTTCTGATTGTAGACAAACCCTCATGAGTTGGAAGCCCATGAAGTAAAGTCACCCCTTCTAACTTCTTTCCAATGTAATACTTTTCTCGTTAATGTAGCTATTTATTGGACACTGATTTAAGTACCTCCGTGCATTTATTTATTTATTTATTTCAGTTTGGAAAAGGATGATCATTTTGCCATATTTTTTCAAGAAATTATTTCTTCCTTAGAACATTTTTTATCATGTTCTGAATCCTACAGCAGTGGTTTTCAGCTTTTCTCATCATGCATTCATATTCACCACCATTTCATAAAAAAAAAATTAAACTGTAGCTTTTGCAGGAGATTTCATCTATTTCCAGATAATCCATTAACAGTTCCTCCACACTGTACACTTGAAAACTGTTTTGCATGTGTATGCTATTTCGCCCCCAGTTTCGGTTCTCACTCTCTGACTAAATTAACTAAACTCAAACCAAACAATTTTCTAAAAGATGTTGAATTACAAAATAAACTCATTTGTGCATTATAGGAAACTTATCCTATGAGAGCCTCCTTTAAACATCAGCCTCACCCTTTTCAATCTTAAAAACTACCTTTGGAATTAAATTTGCAGTTAGATGAGTTGCATATACTTTTGACATTGAACTAGTAACAATTGTGCTGCCTATCTCACCATAGGTTTTTAGGTAACTTACAAATTTCAGAAAGGACAGATTCACTAGAAAGCAGAGAAGAAAACAAGAACCTACTCATGCTGCTCTGTATGTCCATTGTGTGGCTACATCACTAAAGCCACCTGCAATTCTCACCTCCCTGTCTCAGGAAGAACAGATTGAGGAGACACTGGAAGTGCTAGAGCTCTACATATGAACATTATTTCTGAGCCAGGGTCACTTTGGAATAGCTCTGGTTTTTAGAGCTCTGGCAGAGACATACTATTAAGTGTGTCTGGTCACAGTGGTCTGACCCAGCATGGCAGCTCCCATATTTTGTTAATGAAGCTAGTCTCCAGAAATTACAAGAAGCAGCTTCCTTTTTGTTTATCACATTGCATCCTCACACATATCCAGCTTTATTTCTGAGGCAATGGCCAGCTGTGGCCGAGCAGGCCCCTGGCTATTCTAAATTATAGCAGGGCTGAGAATACTGTAAATCAGGCAGGAAACTTTATTGCCACCTTTGGCCACAATGACCATCAATCCTTCATCCTCATTAGTCACAACTGGAATCTGGCCCAAGTGTCTGCAGTCTTAAGCAAGACATCACCTTTGATGGCCAGTTTCCCTCAGACTTAAACTACTCCAGCGACAAAACAGCTCTCCTCTTCTGCAATCTATGGAGGTAAGAAAAAGCACTGAGAAATAGGATGTTTTCCATGAAAGATAATTTATATGCAAAAAACTGTGCTCCTGCTACAACCAAAAGTCTACAGTAGAATATTTTTAGGATATAGATAATTCTGGCTTAGTTCCACAAAATGAACGGTAGAGCTGCCTCAATTTAATTACCACCCCATGAAGAAATCTGACAGCCCCAATGCAGTGCTTAGTAAGCATTTTACCTCAGAGAGCTTGAAGATGTATTGTAGCACTGAAATTACAATACATACCATGACTTGTTCTGTCATCCTACTTTGGGAATGCAGCATGCTTGTCTCTATAATGAGCTGTCTGATATTCACCCACTTCACCTGTAGCAAACAGGAGTAAAACGTAAGTAACCATAAGTTGGCATATTAGTTGAATGCAAGCTAAAATATTCGGGTTTTGGCAGAAGATTTCAGATTCTTCTATCTAAGTAAGTGTAATATATAATTTACTTACATTTACATTTTGAAAACAATCTGAATTTTCTAAATTTTTAATTATTATAATGTGGGAAAAAAAGAAACAAACAAACAACCCGCAAACCCTTACATTTCTGCTTACAAAATTCCTGAAAAATATTTTAGAGACATACTTGTTACTGTGTCTAACACATGATAAAATATGTATAACTTAAGGACACATATGTGCTTCTATTAAGAAAATTAACTCTGCAAGAAAAAATTTTCTCTGCTTAATTCAAATACCAAAGAAGAAAAACAATGTATTTTTAAAAAATCCAACAGGACACTTTATAAAGCTTACACTAATGCCATTCTGTAATTTTTTTTTAATAAAAATATTTATGCTTAAAAATATTTGCTAGTCTACACTTCTACAAATATAATGAAATTATGTACCTTTATTAAAAAGCAAAACAAATCCATCTTTTTTCCAGCAGAGAAAAGATTGAAATTTATTTATTCATATAAAGTCTTACAGAGAATATGGAGAACCTTTATTGTCTTTTTAATTATGCCATTACATTAGAATTGGACTGTGCCATCCTTCCTTTGGCTAAGCAATTTTTAAGAAGTGTGTGGAAAAGCAGTTTTAAGCCCAGGCTAAATTTTAAAACAACCACCTCACAGGAACTATTCATATCTGTAAGAAGGCCTCCCTAGAGCATCCACAAAATCGGTGAACTTTCATTGACTTAATCATTGGCTTAATACCACTGTGAGTTAAGTGTCATAGGCTAAATAATGCTTAATGCCATCTCAGAAGCCATAAATTGTGGAATGAAGGAAAATAATACCCCACATTAGTGATAGAAATAGCATAAAAAAATCAAACAAACAAATAACAAACAAACAACAGAAAAACCTAAACAACGCCCTTTAAAATAATCTTAGTACAAGTAAAAAAAAAAAAAAAAGGGCAATTACATGATTCTTCCATTTCTCTTTCGGATTGTAAGAAAAAGTCATTGCAACAAACACTTATAGGTAAAAAAGGAAGTTTCAGATTAATTTTGAAACCTTGGACTCCAGATCATACAGGTACGGCAATGTACACTATGTGTAACACTATCAGTGCCTATGACTTTAGGAAATTATTTGGAAGTTAATCTAAAATTTAGGATTGAAATGTCTTTACAACCAGCAAAATACCAACAATTTATTATATGATATGCCCATTTATGCTCAGCCTTCCTTTTTGTGTTTACTTCTCCTATGTTTGTTTAACTCAGCACTCTGTTCCCTGTGATTTCCTCTGAACAAGGCATCAGATACTCAAAAGTAATTGTGCAGGTCACACATCAGAAAACAATTTTGGCATTGTGTACTTAGCTGTTTCTGAAGACCAAGTCCTCCCTGAGATAGCTCAAATTAAGAATCTAAAAGCCAAAAGGTCAAGAATCCTAAAATGTTGAACTGAAACAACACAATGTTGAACTGAAACAAGACAAGCTAGATTATACAAAAAATCTGATACATAAAAGGTCAGAAGAAAAGATTATGCAATCCACAGATTTAAAAGTACAAACATACTTGAGAAAAATCACTTGTTATATGATTTTTTTTTTAATTTTTAAAAAATAAGTGGAAACATCTGCAAGATAAAATACAGTTTGTATTTACCAGATGTTGGCTCCCTATGCACAATTAATTGGATTTGGATCTTAGCCATTATTTTGAGTATCTCAAACTTTATTTTCTTTCTCTTATGCAATATATCTCTTTTCATATGTTTTAAAAATAGAAATGCTCCATCACCTTTCTTCAGGCTGATGAGGTTACTGAAAACAGAAGTACCTCAGGATTTAGAAAGCACTTCCCAGTCACTATTACTTGAAAGCAAGAGTTTTTACTCTCAAAGAGGCATGATGTCCAAAAAAAACCCAATACTCTGAACAAAGATGAAAAATTGTGGATTATTTTCACAAGCTCTTATTCTACAATGGAGAAAATATCCAGATTCTAACCAGGGTTCTTTGAAAAGAATATTTTCCTTTTATATAAAGATAAAAAGAAAAGCTTTCAGGTCAGAGGCTATAGGGGAAAAGAACTAATGTCTCCGCTGCTTTGATGTTACAAGTAGTCCCTCGTTACAGAAGTGTATTAGAGCTACCAGTAAACTGATCCAGCATTTTCAATAACCAGTTTCAGTATGGGTGGTATATGGATTATTCTGTACACAGCAAGCAGTCATGCGTATTACAAACAATACACAGACCTTTATTTTAACATGTTAACATTATTTAAAACATGGTATAGCTGAAAGGTAATTTGTGATTTATAGATCCCATAGGAAGACCTCTCCTTATAAATGTATCTGAAACAACTATAGACAGCAAACCAGGATTAAGTGTTTCTCTCACAGTGACATGTAACACACATAATGGGGTTTGCACTTGTGAAAACAGCAAATTTCAATCTGTGAGTACTAAACATAACAGTGATGATTAATAGTATTTGGTGTCTCAGTTGCTTTTGAATCTGAAGAACTGCAGATTGGAGTAACCAGGCCAAAACAACGTGGTCTGGTGCAATTGTCTTTCACAAATTCCTGGGAGCTGAAAGACCTAATGCACCAGCTTGCATTGGTCCTAATGCACCAATGCACCTAACAGACCAATTTATTTATCAACTCATCTTTTGGAACAGTATATCTCAAAATTCAGAATATGTTAGAATGACATCAATAAAGATTACCTTAAAAATCAACCAAAAATATTAATTAAACTTTTGGTGCTATGTAGCAGCAAGCTGTATAACAATAAGAAATACCCTTAGACAAAAACTTACTTTTTTTGTACCTATGTAAATTGAAACTTGCTAGGAGTACTAATCCTCAAATTAACAAAAATAATGTTTATTCTCTTGAGTATCTGATATACTCCAACAGACCACTACATACAATAAAATATAATTTCTGATTGAGTTTTCTATGATGTGGAAAATTATGTTTATTTGGATATTAGTGAAATACTAATTGCTGACTGACTACTGATTGTGCACGTATTAAAATTAAATTAATACTATTTAGATACCCTGTAGTTTGAGCATTGCTTAGTAGACAAACAGAAAGATTGTTCACCAAAATCTCTCAAAAACCTCAAGTAATCAGAAAGTTGAAATGCAATTACCTTGCATTTGAACCACAGACAGATAAACCCTGGCAACTTTTTTCTGTAACAGCTCCAGATTTCAGCCAGAAGTCAGCCACTGCAAGAAAAGTAACAAAGGCTTGTGAAGGGCTTGCAGTAGGGAGTTGATGCAGGAAAGATGGAAAGGATTCAAAAGAAATAGAAAAACAGTAGAAATACTGAGATTGGGAAAGTGAAAAGAATCATGAGTTCAGGGGAAAGCAAAGAAAACGGAAATAAAAAAAGCTAGATATATGAGGAGCAGGGATAAAGAAAAAAAACCTGCAAGAAATGAAAAATAGGGAACCTTAAATAGAGAGGAACAAGGGAAATACCAGTTTCACTAAATGTTTCCTGGTACAGCAGCAAAGAAACAAATTATTCTCCCTATAGGTTCAGGTACCTGTCACAAAAAGTCCAGGAGGAGTTTTTGAGCCTGATTATTCTTAACAGATTTCCAAATTACATTTTTAGCTCTGTAAGTTTTATTTATAAATATATTTAAGATTAATGATTTACTGGAAATATTGGAGAACATGCTGTCCTAAATAAGACCAGCTTTCCTACACTCGATTTTCACATAGGTAAGATAGGTTTAAACTGATGATATTGGCTTCACAATGCTGTGAAATCACTCTGCCCCTCTGCTGGAAGCTATACCTCCAAACGCAGAGCTGTGTGAAGGGAGCCCATCCTCTGTCCTTCCAGCTGGAAACCCACTGTACCTTCTGAAGGCAGTATAAACTCTTCAGCACATAGACATAAACATGTGCTCTAAGGATAATGACTGCAGTAGAAAAGGCTCACAAGCCCCATTACAACAGTATCAGGAGCAGGGAGTTGTAAAACGGCATCCAATCCCACAGAGGTTTCATTCATCAGCGTATCTCCTGAGATGAGTCACAGCTCTTAACAAGTAAAACAAAAAAAATGCAGATCTTTTTCAGTGGGAGGTATGACACACAAAGGCTACATTTTGTTTCTCTCAAATGACTGGAAGTGCCAAAGTTGAGATTGACCATGTCATTTTTTGTGTTTCAACGTGTGTTTTGGAAATCTCTAGATTTTTCCAAATGTTTCCAGACTACTTCCTTAGTAATATAATTGTGAAACACTTAAAACCTCTATGCTCTGATCTGTAATTTTTCTCATCCTGCCTCCACACTAATTTCTGCCTTACTGCTGAAGTGTCTGAGCATTGGCAGGTGGGTTCCCCAATCCCTTTCTCTTTTTGTATGTCAGTGTAACTCTACTCCATCTAGATCATAATGCTTTTTAGACTAATTTTCTCCCCTTAGATTTGGAGAGGCTGTATGTGGACCCCATTTTAGCTCCCCAAACAGGACCAGAAGGAGCAGGTGCAGGTTTCCAGGTGGGAAGTAAGCTGAGTGATTTTGTGTACAATGCATAGCAATGTAGGGTGCAGTCACAGGGGTCCCCAGCAGGTTGGTGTGCTTTGTCCCCCAAAACATTTCTTTTTTGCCCTTGTTTAGTCTTCCATAATGAGCCACTGGGAACAAAAATCATCAAGTGCATGTGTTTGGGGGGGGGAAAAAAAGAAAAAACAAAACAAAACAAAACAAACCCCAATACCACAAGAAAAGGCTCTACTGCTAACAAGAAATAGTGAGGAGAATTTTCTTTAGAAAGCCATGTGACTTATAAACAATATACTACTGCCATGTGTTTAAAAAGAACAAGGTCACTAGTGAGAAAGAAACTGTTATTCTTAAAAGACAAAGTCAGGAGATACAAAAGGGCATACATCATTTCCCTCTGAAATTGTATGATAAAATGACAGCAAAAATCAGCTTAGAAGCAACACGTGAACTAGCCTTCTGTGCCTCCTGCTCTCTTCCTTCCAAGACTAAATGGATCTGTGTCTCTCTTTTGTCACATTGTTGTAACTTTCATTCAGTCTCCCCACTTCACCTTGACCGCATCTGAGCAGTGACAATATGTTTCTTGTTCTTCACACTTTTCCCAGCAAGGATCACTGACAGCCTCTTACTTTGTATTTTCTCGGCTTTTGAGGCAGTGATTTTTTTTCCTCCTTTTCCCCCCAGCCATCATCATTGCTATTTGGAGAGAATTTGGTTCAATTTCCATTTTAAACATGAAATGTTTGAATTAGCTCATAATGTCTCCCAGCTTGCAGAGGAAAGAGCTGGTCTTTAAAAAGGGGGGGGGGAGAGTTATTTTTTGCAAAATAAAAAATGAAAAGCTGTAGAATAATCTTAAGTCGTTTTATACTGCACAGAAAACTTGAAAATAATGAGAGCTCTTCAATTTAGAAATGATTAGGGTTCTAGGAATATGAATCAGAGAGAGCTGTAAAATTATTAGAACACTACAACATCTTTCATAAGCATTACAATTCAGAGGTGATCAAAGATTCTGGACTTGCAGAGCAATTTACTTGGCATTTGCAGGAAAGCCTTACTCTTTCAAACTGAAGTACTCTTAACAATATGAAGAACTCCAATAATTTTAAATTGATGTATACCATACATGCCTAGAAATCCAATTTAGATTTTAAATAAAAACATTATAACTTCAGAAGTACGAAGAGCCCACCCACAACATAACAGCAATCTAGCCTTTCCAATTCACATGTCAATTCAGCCTAGCTCTTATTTCTTCCATGCTAGGTTTTTCTGGCATGAGGAACTATTGAAAACCTTAGAGATGAGTATTTTTTTCTTTTTATCCTTGCCTTCTGATCATCTATGGATTTTTTCCTAAACTCAGTGAACTTCTGGACAGCCTTAGTTTGCAACCCGATTTGCAAAGTGTGAATAGTACTTTTAAATGCTTTTAAATGTTATAGATTAAAACCAGAAGACAATGCTTAAGCCAAATCAAAGACTTAATATGTTCCCAACCAAAACTTTAATTCAGATGAATTTGTTTGTAAATAATATATATATATATATTATTTTTTTTTTTATTTAGCTGAGCTTAGGTTTGCAAATAGCTATTTTGGAAATAAAGAGTACACTGAGTTCTAAAACAATATTGATAGAACAGGAAAATAAAATTAAGTCTAAATTTTAAAAATTATATCTGAATTATACATAAAAAAAATAATCATGAAAAGTCCCCTGAGCAAGACAGGCCCTGTGTTGTCCCAGCAGATACTCTGCTGCTTCCTTGCAAATTGCTCTGCTATGTAAAACAGACTCCTGTCACCAGACAACTTGTGAAGCCTCTCAGTTTTGCACAGCAGGCAACCACCTTTCCAATCATACTCACCAAACCTGAAACCCTTCCTGTAGCCCAGAAGGCTTGTGAGTGATCACATAAGAGCTACAGTCTTATAGAAACTCAAGGGTTTTTTCCTTATTGACACAGAAGCAGGACTGTGTGAGACAGCCAGTGATAGTTCAGGTAGGATGAGCTCTTGACATCCAGTTTTGGAAGTAGCCATTACCTTCCTAACTTGGTAGACCTTGAGTAGACCTTGATAGTGCTGGGGAGCACTGGTGCACCAGAAACAAGTAGGTGGAGGGAATCGATCAGTTAAGGTGACCACAAACATTGCCCTCGGGCTTTAAAAGCACACAGAAGTTGTTTTACTTCACACGGGTGATGCAGTGATGGATGGAAAAGCCCCAGACAGCATAATCAACTTTTGGCACAAATGGATAAGACTTGCTTCCATTATTTTAGATTTTACCACCTGAAAGTAGCTTCTTCAGCTTTTAGCATACTAAAATACTTTTAACTGATAAGGAGCTTCTGGAACTCATCTGGTGCAACCCTTAACTGAACAGAGAACCAGCACAGATCAGGTTGCTTGGGATTTTGTACAGTCAATATCTAAATATCTCCAAGTATGTAGTTTTATAAATCACTAATACTTCATATTCTTCATCTTTTAAATGACAGTATTCTAAAATAAGGAAATTTTAAATTTTCTACCTCAGAAGTTGATAGTCAGGCCTGTTTCTAAGGATAGAACATATCTATGAAATATTTATGTGATATAAACCAATGCAGGTGCCCTTGAATGTTTTTAGTACTATTGGAGTTCATGTGATCTATGATAAGAATTCTGTTCTGTTCCCCATAGGTTATAGCTTAGCCTCAAGACTTTGTGGATATGTGACTTAGTGTGAATTTAGAAGAGACTATGATGTCTATAAACCCTTACAAAATCTCACACACAAAAAAAAAGTATTAGTAGATTTCTACCTCAAACTATGCCACGCTCACTGTCAGACAGCAAAAGTGCTTACAAGTATACATCATCATGTTCTCAGGATTATAAAATTAATTTAGCCCCTTGTGGTGCAGACTGACAGAAGCTAGTAGAGAATGCATTTTAAAGAATGCATCGTCTTTTCTTGAAAATAAAAAAGCACACTAAACCTCTACATAATCTTTTAAATAATGAAACCTGAAGTATCCGTAACTGGACAAATGTGTGACAAAGCTTGAGGACCCAGCCACAACTGTTAGACACAAAATTGTATATTTCAGATGCATCTTAATTGTTTTCTACCAGATTTGACTTTCCTTTCCTATATTTGCTTTGTATGAAGCTGAAAGCAAACTTGTTTTGGAAATGTTAGAAGAGGAACAGAAGTCATGGGAAACTATCTACATGTTTACTATTAAATTTAGATGCATTCAGAAAAAGATGAGACATTACCAACAAACAAATATCTTCTAATGCCTCAATTCTTCATAATTTTAACTACAGTTTTAAATTACATTTAAATGTATTTAATGTATATAATTTAATTCAGGAAAAAAACTCTTTTAGCTTACTATGGCATTTAGCTTGGATGTTTACCTACTGAAATAAACTATACGCAAGACAAATGTGTTCCTATCTTCCAGGAAGCTGGTTTTTGGCACTGTTCTGTAAGACAAGGTTGTTCAAATAAAAAAAAAAAAGTAGTTGATGCTGTTACAACTATTTTGTGTATTAGCCAGATGACTCCTATTATTTTTGAGCCAAAATCTTGAAATGTTCATGGCATGACAAAAATCTAGAAGTCTTAATCTATAGACAACACTTTAGCTTCCTCAGTGTTGAAGATTATTGTTCTGCTTTGAGTAGTTTAGTCAGC